CTGAGGCTGGTCTTGAGCTTGCAATCCTCCTACCTCAGCCTCCTGGGCCATTGAGATTACAGGCATGAGCCACCACTGCACCCAGCAAGGTATTTGCTAATTGTTGGTGACTGGCCATTTAAAAATGTTTTAGGGATATAACTTCTTATTTCAGACTTTCCTCTGACATACTTTTTTATGAAGCCATTGAAGAATGTTATGAATTAACAGCAAAACAGGGAGGTTCGAAGTAAATGATTAGTATATTGAGGGCTGCCACTTTTCAACTTGGTAGTAGATGTCTTTGAAATAAGATTATAGGAGCCTATAGACTGTAGAAATTTTATGTTTATTAAATTACCAATAAAAAAAATCCTTATTTGTTCCTTGCTCCCAGTCTGTGATTTAGTCTGGTGGCTAGATCACAGACTTAGAGTCAGACTGCTTGTTCAAACCTTGACTCTCTCCTTGCATAGATAACTTAAACCTCTCTGTTACTTAATTTCCTCTATAAGATGGTAGTACCCCACAGTCTTTGTGAAGGGAAGATCATACCATGGGGTAAGTGCTTGCCAGTATGTATGTCCAGCCTGTCCCCCATCCTCACTCCCACTGGCTTGATATTATACACCAATTCAAATTAGTCTTAATGCTGAGTCACAGAACCGTCCCAGGGGAGAGTGAAGAACACTTAGATCCTGAAGGGAGTATGGCCAAAGAGCCCTGTGAGAAAGGAAGTTATGTAAACAGATTCTCTTCTACCATGTCATTCCACTGAAGGCAAATTCCCTGAAGAAAGATTGGTAAGGTTGCTTACTAAGACAGCCCTCCAATAAAATGAACGGCATTTTACTTTTGATCAATATAAAAACTCTTTTAGGGCAAAAATAAAAATGGGTAGCCCTGAGCGTAGCTGGGAATAGCATTGCTGGCATTTATGATAGGAAAGTAGTTTTTCAGTAAGCAATTTAACTGGACTCCAGTGCATGTAAGCAAACAGTATCTCTTGAATGTGATGGGCTATTTGTAAATGTACTGTGGGTTTAGTAATGTGTCCCCATATCACGAATATCATCCGTGATACAGATATTGGGAGGTACGAATGATTCTCTAGAGCTTTGCAAAGACCAGAATGTCTCTTTTAAACCACAGTGAAATTTCCATTAGCTCTCAGGAGATAATTGATTTTGAGACTCATCTTTGGGAGCCAGAAACCCTCTTTCCTTCTCGTTGAACATGATTAGCTGGGTGTTTGTGTAAATGAGCACATGTTTTCGCACTGCATTAACAGCCCAATGTAGAGGGCCTGGCAATGATTACACTTGTTTTTCAATGAGAAAATCTGCACCTTTTCTCATACAAATATGGATGCTTAGACACATACACAGAACTTGACTAATTTGGAAATTTACTGGTGTTGAGTTCTTCAGATGTCATAAATGTGGCTATTTCTTAGAAGTGCCCAGTGATTTCGTTTGCCTTTTCCATCACAGTTGCATGCCTCCATCCGGTACACAAGTCCCAGCCTCCCTGATTGCATTTATTGTGCTTCCTCTCCAGCATCTTTTTTTTTTTTTTTTTTTTTTTGGAAAGGGTACCGGGAATTGAACTCAGGGACACTCAACCACTGAGCCACATCCCCAGTTCTATTTTGTATTTTATTTAGAGACAGGGGCTCACTGAGTTGCTTCGCGCCTCACTGTTGCTGAGGCTGGCTTTAAACTTATGATCTTTCTGCCTCAGCCTCCCAAGCTGCTGGTATTATAGGCAGGTGCTGTAGCGCCTGGCCCAGCGTCTTCTCTTTATCATTCTGAGTCACAGGCTTTTCACAGTTCAAATTAAGATTCACCCTCATAAGTCCTTTGACTGTCATAATCACAATGATATTTAGTTTTCATATTCTAGAAGTAAAAGAATTACTTTTGAAATTTCTTCTGGCCTAGGTCTTCCTTAGCTGTTCCTTGTCTTTTCCTTCTTGGACAAATGTAGGTTTTTGGAGTGTCCATTCCAACACCTAGTAGCCTACTCTGTGGTCCCCAGTGGTTTATAATGAACGAATGGTAGAACACAGAACTAGAGTGGATGTCAAGAGATCATCTTGTTTTTTTCCCACAACCTGCAGTTTAATTTAATAAATATTTATTGAGGTCTTTCTTGGGTGGACAGCACACCACAAATGAGAGTTTGGCATCTGCCAAGAAGCACTGCACAAATGACGTGGCCGTCTTCCATGTTTTCCAAAGTTCTCTAGTGGCCAGAAGTTTCAGTGGTGAGCCTCTTTAGAAAATATTAATCCTGCTTCCACAGTAAAAAGTTCCTGGCATTATTGATCATGGACAGCAAAAATATTAGAGGATATAGTCAAACTCTCAGGCATTATTTGTCTTTAGTCTTGAATTTTTTAAATTTCCATTTTGTTGATTTACCTTTGAAACTGGTGGGATTTCTACCTGGTCCRGTAAGATTTTTTTTCAATGTTGATTAAAAAAAAGGACCTTAAGAAAGTGAAAATGAGGACTGGAAAATACAAGAATATACTTTACAGTTACTGGATTAATTTCTGAAATTTGAAATTCAAATTTAATAGGATAGTACAGATATATGTGAACATTTAAGGTCATCCTACAATACCTGTGCTTGGATGCGAATGACTTCAAATCAGTGATCCAGGCCAAACTGAGAGCTGGGGTTGAGAAAGGGCCTCAGGCGGTGGGTCAGTTCTGTTCAGAAAGTTGACTCCACTCAGAGGGCAAAGGCCAAAGCAAAAGTGTATGAAGTAGAGCAGGTGTGCACACTGGACCTGCTGCAGGACAACAGGTAGACCAGAAGCCTCGATCGCTGGTGCGMGAAGGGTGGGGGCTCCCTCCAATGGGGACTTGTGAGAGGCAGAAGTTCCAAGAAGAGCCTTGGAGTGGAAGCCATCAAGGAGCTAGGACCAATTCCTGTGAGTAGTGACCTGAAGCAAGTTTAGGTGTGTAGCTGTGGGTGTTGAGAGAGAGTGACATCAGGATATCCCATCACAGATCTAGAAACAGAAGGGCTTCTGAGAAGCCACTCACCTTCACCTGGACCAGTGTCATTAGTGCCCGAGGGATTTCTGTATTATCAGATGGCGTAATACTGATTGCTTAAATTAGTTGAGTAGGCCCAGGTAGTTTTTTTTTTTTTATATTATAATTGTAGAATAAAAGGTTAAAAGGTTTTTGTGCTTCAAAAGGGAAATATATTACCTGCAAAACCCAAGCATGTGACTCAGTTCCCACTGGTAGGTACTGGGGCTGTCAATGCCCGACAGGAGCTTAACTTTTAATCTCTTAATTCAGACATCAATTAGTCATTTTCAATTTACTTCTTATGCCTCTACACCTGTGGTTTATAGCCCTGCCTTGGTATTAAGGTTGGTGTGTGTTAAGACGTATTAACTCCCTAGACTGGCTTCCCATTCCTTTTCTTTTCTGACCCGCCTTCACCAGCCACCTTCAAAAAGAAAGATTTTATTTGCAACATAAACAATGAAAGTCATCACCTGCACCTAAGAATATCACCCGTGCTTTTCTTTATGCATACAACTTTTTATAAAGTGTTGATTGTAAGCTCTTAAAGAATTTATAAAGGTTGCAGCATAAACAAAGTCATTATGGGCACCTAAGAATATTTCCTTGTGTTTTTTCCTTATGCATATAATTTTTATAAAGTGTTGATTATAAGTTCTCAAGGAATTTGTAAAGGTGTAGAATGCACTCATTCCTTTGATTCATTTTTTTCTTGTATTTAACTACCTCCCTTCTTGCTCTGATTAACCCCCTCCCTGGATGTGGCATTAATCGTTTCACTCAGACCCAGCATTTATTGTGCATCTTTRTGTACAAAGATTTTTGCAGACTGCTGTAGGGACATGAAAAGTCAAAGGGTCTTTGTGGTTCTGTAGGTGTTTATAATCTGTACTTTCTCTGGCCAAGCATAAAGCAGTGGAGAGTTTTATGARCATTTCCTCTTCCCTGGTCTCCTAGTGGATGACAGTATTGACCAGCTTTTGGGGTCGAGGATGGAGGGAGCAGGGATAGCACAAATGGGCTCTCTACTGTCCTCAAAGCTGGGTATAGAATGGCATCAATGAATTAATTAAAACCCACTTTGGATTTTTTGATAGAAGACAGCAGTAGTTTCTCAGGTATTTTTGTACATCACTGATGTGTTTGGAAATAATAAGATTTATGCAGCCACTGTTTTCTCAGGGACAGACTGAAAATGCATTTATTTATTGACTACTACTTATACAGAATGAGTTAAGAGGTGACCTCCATTTCAGCAAGATAAATTCTTGGATCCAGAGTCCAGCCATCCTCATTTATTCTGTGTAGCTGAAGTGGATATTGAAATTTCTTTCTACAGAAGACAGGGAAGCCCCAGTTCTCACACACCAGGTTGCTGCAAGCGCCTCATAAAATTGCCAGGCATCTATTACAAAGGGGTGCTGCTCATCTTTATTAAATATGAGTCAGGTTCTGGTCCTATAGGGCATCTTTGGATTTGTACACATAGCTCCAAGATCATGGGCTCCCTAACAGTATCTGCTAAGGCCATTATGAGTTAGGAGCACAYGAGGGGGGCAGACCATCTCCCAGCAGGTATCACTGATGCCCTGTGATGTAACTCCCCTAGCAAGAGGCCACGTTTTCTGAAAAGTCCCCTGCTGTGTTTAAGATGACTGATTGCCTCCATTACTCTGCTGTGCTTCAGTTGAGAGGACCTAGGAAGATCAAAGCAATGTAATGTGAGTTGTTTTTTTTTTTTTCCTAGTGTAAATCTCAGCGTGGTCACAGCATGCCTTAGAAAGGCAATTTAGCCTGCAGAAATAATTAAATCCTCAGTATCTTGCAATAATTAGAAATTTGAAACAGGGAGGGTTAATTATTTCCATCAGCTTTCAAAAACCCAAGAAAATGCTCAAGGATAGCACCCAGACGGTCTCTGTATTCACAGTACCAGTGCCTTCAATATTTTTGTCTTCTTCCCTGCAGGATCATGCAGACTTGCGAAGCCATTTCTTCACAGTTGGGATGAAGCTAGAGACAGTGAATATGAGTGAGCCCTTTCATATCTGTCCTGCATCAGTGACTAAGGTGGGTTTTGCTCTTCTGTTCTTGGCCTTAACCCCCAGAGTGAATCGGCTCCATGCCAAGCAGATGGAATATACTCAACACAAGAATGTGCTGCAGGACCAGATAAGCCAAAGGGACATTGCCGTCCCCCCCCAGTCCAGTTCTGTTGGAAGCTCTTTCGATCCCTAGGGGCACAGTGACTCTGATCAGGTGCCTCTTTGTAGAAGAGATAGTTTGAATTTCCCTTCTCTTAGTTGTCTGCGGGTGAGTTGCGTGTTGTCGTCATCATAAGAGTTAACTCACTTCTCCTGTGTGGGTAGGAGTGAATAGGATCTATTTCTATTTTGAAAATGCCTGAAAATGCTGGGAAGCAAATTCTCAGCTCCCCATGAGCCAGCGTTTCTGCCTCCTTTTGCATATCTGCTTCCACTGATTGAAGGAAAACTCATGCTTCTGAAACTTTCAGGTCCAAAATGAAAGACTTTCTCATGTAGAGGCATTTTAATGATCTGATTATTCTTTAAGGTTATAATATCTCTTCTTAATAAGAAATCTCTCCATGACATCACCTGCTATAAAACTTAAATCGTATGTTTCTACCTTAAATATTCCATTACTAATGGTGGGAAAACCCAACAAACTTAGCATTCTTAGCCCATACGTGGCCTTTTCAGAAGGAGGAGTTAAAGATTCAAAAATAAATTATATTTTAATGTTTTTTGAAATAACCTCATTTGTTCATGGAATGATAAGTGTTTCAGCATATTTGCGTTATTTTTTTAATTTATGATTTGGTAGAATCTTAGGAATTCAGTGGTGGGTATKTTATAGAATGTGAAAAGTGGTTACAATCCTAAGTTGCTATTTTCCTCTTTTCTAATCGTTTCCTTTAGTGAACAAATTGTTTTTATAACTGTTAAGGTGAGTTCTTTAAGGAAAAATTATTGCCTTGTGCTTTATGGAGATCTTGGGATTGAAACACAATGCCTTCCCATTTGTGCATCATCCATTAAAAACCTTATTATTGGAAATGGACTTTTGGGGTTCTTTACTGGTGGTCTTCAAAATTTTTTCAAAGCTGAAGAGTTGTACCTTGTTGAAACCTATCCAGAATTTGCCTTCATTGCTGCAGAGGTTGATGTTCATTCTCTGGATACATGGCACATTGCCCTTATTCTGAGAGGTGACAGTGACAACTTTATCTGGCATTTCAGAATAAACTAAATAGAGCCATGTGCTGAGCCATCCCTTGGAACCCTGAAACACAGCTTCCCAGGCCCAAGACTGCTCTTCATGCAGTGTGGTATCAGAGCATTCTTGGTGTAGAAGATATTTACAACAAGATTATTTTCTCAAAACACTGGTAAATGTTTTAGAATATTATGTTTGAGACTATAACACACTATGCTGTCATGACTCATCACAGTGAAGATTTCATCTCCCTACCTCCCCCTCGAGGTTTTTCTTCATGGCACGACTGTGGGAGATGTGAGTAGATRTATTAAAGCAAACAAACAGGAATGTGGATGAGCGTGTGGCAGATGCAGTATTCAGTGACCAACCTTCAGCAGTCCAGCRGGACTATGATTTTTTGGTGCCCCACAACGGTGAGATGTCGACAGAGGATGAAGATAGTGTCACCTGTGACGTGGACTGTATTGATGAGAGGAGAGGGCACTGGAGTTGCAATCTGGTTTTGGGTTTCTGTTTCTGTAAGCTTGGAGATGTGCAGTTTTGAGCAATTTGATTAACTGCCCTTGAGCATTGGTTCTGAGATCTTTGGATTCTGGACCAGATGGAACTCAAACCAGCAGTTCYGACCATTTGGGAATGTGAAAACCAATGTGTGTGCCCACATGAACCTGCATTTTAATGGGTTTTAATGGGTTTTGGAGATTCTTGGTGCATGCCTTTGCCGTCTTGTGTGCCTAAAGATCCTGCCACAAAATTTACTTGTTTGTTTTAACGTGTGAGTGTATGAACATTATAGAATATTTTTGCAGATATTTACTGAGCATTTATAGGCACTGTTCTGACAATAGGTATTGTCTGATATTTTAAGAGGGAAAACAGACAATAAACAAAAATAATGAATAAATAAATGTAGTGTTTACGGGTTACTTGCTGAGGTGGAAAACATATCAGGGAAGGGCTAATGGAGCATCCGGGTGGAGGGAGAATGTAATTTTAAATAGGACTGTCAGGATGGCCTCCCTGGGAAGGCTGGCCATGTTGGATCCTTTGCTCTTTTCAAAGGCTTAGAACTGGAACTGTTTACTGGAATGAACGAAGAGGAGCAGAAAAGCGAGTTTCTGCTCCTGTTTAACTTTAAACTTGGCTACTCCCAGGAAATACTTTATAAGCTAGGTACCATAGCTTAGTAAAAATGTTAAAGTTCCCTAAGAAAGACCAGTCAATGTCTGTTGAGTCGGGAAAGCACTCTTTTTTCCATCCTGCTTTACATACAGGGATTTAAACCCACCATGGTTTTCAGTGTGGGGGACCGACTGATTTTTGCCCTCTTCTTGGTTTTATCAGCAACTTGTTCCTTTTTCATCTTTGATGTTTTCTCTTATATTCCTTGGGTATTTATTCAGTTTCTCTATACAAAGCATTTGGAAATACTTTGATGAATGTCAAAGAGCCATCAGTTCATTGTGTTCTCAAAGAACTTAGGATCTGTTGGTGGAGACTGTTAAGTGATTAGCCCAGGAAAGAAACCAGGATCCTCAGTACAGAGTTTGTGTCTCATGCTCTGGGAGCACAGAGCAGGGGCTGTTTATTCCAGCCAGGCCAGTAGCATTGACATTTGAGTTACACCTTGAAAAACGCAGCAAGTTTTAATAGACTAGTGAGGTGGATGGGGTGTCATAGTCTGTGAAGCAGGCTTCCGGATAGTGATCACCCCCTGGGCTTCAGGTGGGGTCTCTGGAGGGTCCTGATGCAGCGTAAGTCTAGAAATTTCATGGACCAGATCTGACCGATGTTGGGATGATCCGAAGGGAGGAGTTTGGTGCCTGCTGTGGACGCTGAGAAACCAGCTGGTCTTTTCAGCACCTGTCTTAGCTTTTGTGCCATCACTTTGATGACATATCTGTTTGGAAGCAGTGCCAGCATTACATATGAAATACCAAGGAATTAACCTTTGCTTCTTGTTTTGTTTCAGGTTTTTAACAATCATTTTTTTCAAGTGACTATTGATGACCTAAGACCAGAACCTAGTAAACTCTCAATGATGTGCCATGCGGATTCTTTGGGGATTTTACCAGTACAATGGTGCCTTAAAAATGGAGTCAACCTCACTCCTCCCAAAGGTTTGTATCCTGTGAAAATTTACAAGATATTGGTGACTCCTGAGGGTGTCTTGTCATTGAAGCCATGCTGTTGTTCACCTGGAGAAGTTTGCCCTATAGAGAGCCTGTGTGCAGAGGAAGTAGAGTGTTCTTCCTGGATAGCTTGAGGCAGGTGTCCCTCAGCCTGTCCCCTGCTGTGATGTGTGCCCTTGGGCTCCCCAGCCCACTTCTGTCAGCTGCAGTTCTTCCACCAGTGACCCTGCATCGGCAGCTTCGCTGCTCCTGTGTGGCGGTAAAGGGAGGATGCGGTGTTGCTAAATGATTGAGTTACGCTCTTGAAAGTGTCTGAGAAGTGGCTTTATAAGTGCAACAAAATGCTAATAAAGCATTTCTTTAGATTTTTATTTCCAACCCATCAAATTTTCCCCAGGGCCTAGTTGCTCTCAGATATACATCAATTTGTCGCTGTAATACATTAAAATCATTTGCTTGGGAGTCAGGATGCATTAAATTAGTTTTAGATTGGGATCCAAGAACCACACTTTGATCTGTCCAAGTAGTACCTTTCTCATTTAGTAACATGGCTTGTTGTCTCCCCTTCAGGTCTGAGGTTCGTCGAGGCAGGACAACAGTAAAATGAAGCGTGACAGTGTGAGAAGGAAAGTAAAGGAAGTTATAGGAGAGAACTGGGAAAAGAGTAGGAAAACAAACTTTCTTGGGGGAGATTTTAATGGACAGCTTCAGATTTTAAAAAAAGTTTTATGTTTGAATCCCTAGGGATCAGATTACTTCCGGTGTTAGTTAGTTGTTTTGGGATGGTAAGTTTCTGTTGCCCTGTGGCTGTCTTGTGCCGTATGCATCATTTAATTGGGCTATGCCAAGCTTATCTGTAGCACAACTGTGTTTTCTGGGCTTTTATCTCCTCTTTCCTCCACACTCATCCCCATGGAGGAGAGAGATGCCTCTGGATATTTCCGTTTCTCCTGCTGACCCGTTAGATTAAAGATGCGTAATCATGGCATGTGGTCTAGTGATTACATGGTGAACTTMCACAAAATGCTGCTTACCAGCCGTCCAAGGGCCTTCAGGTGGTGGGCAGCAGGCAGGAGGCCTGGCCCCTGAGTCTGTGCTTGATGCTGAGGGAGGACCCCAGTCCACGAACCCGCCATGTGTGTTGCCCTTTTGGACTTGAGCCAGATCATGTCCCCAGTTTTCAAGACTGTCACCAGGGGTACCTTTGGCAGTCCCTAGGTATTCTGCAGAGTCAAAGAAATGATAAAAATCTAGGTATTTTTATAATCCTTTAATGTGACCTCACTTATTGTCAGAGATGTATAGTAATAGATAAGAAGTACTCCTGCCAAGTTGGAAAGCCCCTAAGGGCCATCTTTGTTTTTTCCTAACTTCCTCAGTGCAATGTGTGGGGAGGGGTCCCTTGTCATCAAAGGAGACTTTTTCTAGATATCTAAAATGCAGCTGGTTTAGACTTTGCAAATTCCTAGTTAGTTGGAATTGGATCTGTTAAAGAATTTAAAAAGGGAAAGTGTTTATATCAGTGTTTGGCAGTTTGATCCGTCCATTGTGGCATAGACTTCATAGCTATCAATGTTTTTAAATACATTCTTTTTTTAGTATTTATTTTTTAGTTGTAGTTGGACACAATAACTTTATTTTTTTATGTGGTACTGAGGATCGAACCCAGGGCCTTGCATGTGCTAGGCAAGTATTCTACCGCTGGGTCACAACTCCAGCCCCTTTAAATATATTCTTATGAACTGTATATAGTCAGATTGGTGATGTAGCTTGGATATTTACTAGAGAAATGGGTGTGCCTATCTGGATACTTGAATTTTATGATATTAAGAAAATTGTTGTATATTAATGTAATTGAACTGCTAAACATGCAGTGGAAGGACTGCACAAATGTATTTATAAAATCTAATATTTTCCATGTCTTCAACTTTTTTATGCCTCTAAATATCTACCATTACCAGTTTTTTTCTCGGTCATCCAAGGATGAAATTGTCTTCATCCAGCCTTCCCAGCTCTTTCTTCCCCTATAGGAAATGAAGTATGCCTTTTGTATTTGCAAAGAAAAAGAACATTTTTTTTTGTGGATGTGATAGGTTATTTTTAGCAAATCCAGTATGATTGATTAGTGAATGCCAATTAAAAAATCTCAGGGATAACCTTTTAAACCCTTAAAGCATTTAAAAAGTGATACATAGAATTAGTTCAGGATCCACTGGTAATATGCAGGAATTTTCAGGCCATGGGACTGTTCTCTTGAAACAATAGAATTTTTACTTATAAACAGTGCAAAAAGACGAGAAACTTACAGAAAAATGGACAAGCAATGTGAACAAACTAAAACTAGGTAAAAGAATCAATGATTAATATGCAAAACTCAATATAATAAGAGAAATACAAGTATAAATCATGTGGAGATGCTATATATTTATCAGAGAAGGCAAAAGTCCAAAGGATAAAGAACAGAAGCATTGAGATTTGATAAGTGCAGGTTACCAAAGATGCTCCAATGTCACTGTGCAGGTGCAGGTGCAGGTGCAGGTGCAGGTGGTGCAACTGTGTGGAAGGTGGCGAAGGAGATGCGTTTACTCATTGACTCAGAAGTTTCACTTCTGGAAATTTGTCCTAGAGGAATAGACTATACAGAAAGTGTATGCATAAAAGAGTTTTTTGCCACATTATTTTTAATAGCAAAAGACTAGGGAGGAAAATCCAAGTGTCCATCCGTAGGATATTGGTTAAGTGAATTTTGGATATCCATCTAATGAAAACTATGCAGTTATTGGAAATAATGAAGGGAATCTATGTACTTGCATAGAAAGCTCTATAAAACGCACTGAATGATAAAAGTTTTGTCAGTATACCATAATATCTTTCTTGTTTGTTAGAGAAGAAGTAAGTAAGAGAACTTTACCATGCTTACTCAATGTTTTTGTAAGTAATCTCCTAAATACTGCACAGTAAACTAGCTAGAGCTGTTGTTTCTGTGTGGGCTTATGGCTAATGGAGGTGGGTAGAAGGAGCAAGGGTAGGAGTGGGACTTTAATGGAGAGCAGCTGGCCTTTCACATCCATGTCCTCTGTATTTGTGGATACAACCAACAGTGGGTCAAAAATATATAGGAAAAATTATACTGAATATGTACAGACTGTTTACTTGTCATTATTCCCTAAATAATATAATAGAACAACTATTTGCATCTCACTTACATTGCACTGGTTATGATAAATAATCTAGAGACAATTTAAAGTTTGCAGGAGGATGTGCCAGGCTATACGCAAATACGCTGCCATTATTAGTATAGGGATTTGAGCTTCCATGGATTCTCATGTCAGTCTGGGGTCCAGGAGTCAATCCCCCATGGATACCAAGGGACTATGATATTATTTTTAATCTTCTGAATTTAAAAATTGGTGGCCCTAAACCCAACTAACAGATGTTAATGGACCATGACTTTTACATGATGGAAATAATCTATAAATCAAAGCAGTTGGCAAATTATAATCCTAGGGACTCATTTTCCAAATGCCGATGTAAGTTATGATACAATTGTGATTTTATTTATTGAGCTCCTTTCCCTTCTCATGAGAGTGGAATATATTTATTTTTGTAATTAAAGTGAGTAAGAAATTAGAGGTGGTGGTGGTGGTAGTGGTGGTAGATTTTGTAGTGTGGTTTAATGGTTTCCTTTTGGGGTAATTTATTACCCACCTTATCTCAACACGAGGCCTGGCAAGCTTGCTGTGGAATTTTTCAGATAACTTTCTTTGCTTTATTAAAGTGTGGAAGTAGAAGCTTTTTAAGCAGGTTTGTTGTTTTAAACTTGAATTGTGAGGTTTCTATCTAGAATATGTTGGGTTGATTTACATACCTAATCTCCAAAAGGTATGAAGTGAAAGCAGCAGAGGAAGCAAGATATTTGGTGGCAGATGAGAGAGAAGCATAAAGATCACAGATACTTATTGCACTATTTTGACTCTATTCCTACTTTTATATATATATATATATATATATATATATATATATATGACATCCTGCCCCAGGCCTGAGGGACTGGACATCTAAGGTAGAGTGGACAGAAGTTCCCAGTTCCCAGGGGACATTCTGCAGCAAGTGCTTTCCTGTTAAGACAAGGACAGAACCTTGGAGATTTTATCTGAATAGCTTAAACTCAGTAAACACCAAGTCGGTATTACATGACAGGTGATTAAACAAGGACATACATAAATAAACTAAGCCAAAAGGTATATAGGTCATCGACCATGAATTGCTATGTTTAACTTTTTCCGTTAACCTTCATGGTATGTGATATCAAAGGTTAGTTGTAGAATTAGAGGAAGAAACGTTCCACCCAGGGGGATCTTTTGTAGAAAATGTTCAACCTTTAAATTTCTGTTGTAAAATGTTGGAGCAAAGGCTAAAGTCAATGGCTCATTTTAGCACTTTCATATATAACTGTTAGGTTGATCATTTAATGGACACATAAACTGTTAGTGGAATTTAGGAAGTCAAGGTGCTTAATTATTATCAGAATACAAAGCATCGAATGCTAATTCGTGTACTCTTTTCCTAAAGAAAAGCTTCAGTCACTTACTGATGGACTTAGTCCATTTTGTCATTCATTTTATTCAGAAAGGGAACAGAAAAAAAATGTAGATACTCATGGCCCTACTCCTTTGAAAAGGTGCTAACGTTTTGCCGTGTATGATTCAGATTTTTATAAAGTAGAATAAAGCATTATTGATAAAGTTGAAKACGGAGTCCTCCTTGACTCCCCCACTTATCACATCCTGAATCAAGTTACCTGGTGAATCCTGTCACCATTTTGAGCATTTAGGCTGTGGGCTGTGTGATCACCTGGCCCAAGTCACCATTGGGTCTCACGTGGTTACTGCAGTGGCCCCTGGTTTTCTTCAACAGACGGATCATGTCAGAATATCAGTCACACACATCCCTTCTCTGCGTGGACTCTGCACTGTCTTCAGGCTCAC